AAAAATGTATGCCTAATTTATTTCCACTTCTATCTCTCTAGGGTTTTCGCCTTACACTGCATTAGAAACCGTTCTAAATAGTGTATAAAGTTATTTTTGTTGCCCCTTGACAGACCTAAAGTGTGTTTGTGTATTTTTATTTAGCTGGGGTTTTTTTTGGGTAAAGGGATGTTAAGGGAATAACAGGAATGGTTTTGGGCTGAGAGCTGTAGAAAATTCTGAATCATTTATACTGTTTGATCCAAGCAGCACTGCTGAGCTAAAGCAAGAAAACACCCATGGATGCAGAGAATGGGCTGCAGGAAGGCAAATCAAATCATGAAGCAATATGACGGGAAAGACATGTATTGTTGGTCAGTTTGAAAAGAAAAACACATCTCGTATGTTCAAGTGTTAGACATAATACTCTCAAGTGGACTTTATGCATGAGAAGAAGAAGAATAAAAAATAACCCATTAATCTGTGATTGTATTTGATGGATGGACCTTAACTTCATATGGAAGTAATCCCAGACACAAAACGTAAGGTCGGATATCGAATACCGATAATTGTATTTATTTATTTTTTGATCAGCACACCTTAAGGGCAGACAGTGTCTTGGCTTTGAAGCAATTCAGAGAGACCTAACATCAATTTTTTTGGACTGTGGGAGGAAGGTGGATTATCCAGAGAGAGCCCATGAATGCACAGGGAGAACTTGCAAACCGCATGCAAGAAATACTTGGCTGGTATTCAACACCAGATTCTTGCTGTAAGGCAACAGTGCTAACAAAAACATTGTTGGTCAGCAGAAAAATTGAAGATGGCCCATGCTCATTAGAAATCTCGCTGCCTGATGAGCCCAGCTGGCAGTAGTGTTGTTAAAGTTGGCATGTGATTTGTAGCGTCGAGCTCAGCTGCATGTGGTCTGACTTAATGCTTTAGAAATATCGAGGTTATGTTTAGTCTGTTCTAGTTTACAATGTAAAACACTACAGAGATATAGCTAATCAAAGATTGTCCAGATGCCTTTAAAGCGGTAATGCAGCTTTTTGCTTACTGCCCAGATTGGGATGCTACAAATCAGATGTCCACTTGAGCTTCAAGCTGTGTTAGTGGTGGGTAACTGAGCAGTTCGACCATAGTAGGAATAATAAATGGGAATTAAGAATAATCCTTCAATTTAACTCCTTTAATGGAATACATCAACCAGGCCTTTTGGCTTTTGTACAACTTGGCTCAATAAGACCTGTAGAGGTCTTTGATAATGGAGTCTGCCCTGGCCTCCTTCACAAACTGCTTCCATTCAATTTTCTGAAGCTCATGTTTTCACACATGCAGAAAAAGGAATAATGCTGCTCCCATACAGAACAATGAATCCAACTGAAGAATGACTGAACTCAGCAATACTCTGATCACATAATCCACATAACCTGTGATGAGTCTGAGCGGTACATGGAATGAAAAAGAAAAGTAGAATCCAGCTTTCATGATAACCATTATTTTTGCAATAAAAAAATATTAACTTGAATTGTGTCTTCTATCACAGGTGAATGTGGGATATTTCTAAATTCTAATAGATCTCCATCCTGAATGAACTAATGAGGACTAATGATGGAATATGATGACCACACAAAACCTTCTGGATTCTTTCAGAATTAAAGAACGATGTAAACATGGCCTCTGTACATCAATTACTGTTCCACCGAGTTGTGTTGTCTGTTTCCTTTTCCAGTAAATACAGGCCTAAGCCACACACTGTGGAAAGAGGTTTCGCCCTTTTACCCCATCATTAACCTTTGTCTTCCTTCCCCAGACACAGTGGCATGCACTGGTGAATATCGACCACATGCCTAATCAGACATCGAAGACTGCAGTATGTGTGTGTGTGTGCGCGTGATTATGTTTGTTATCTGTGAATCATGTCCTTTGTCTGTAGAAACAGTGTCTGGGTTAGTGAACAAGGTCACAGTCCTGATTCAGTTTACTGGAAACAGTGACCATTCAACTGCACAGCGAAATTCACTTAAAAACAAAGCCTGAAGGGAAGAGTGGGAAATGATTGCTGTCTTGCTGTTATTATTGACAGAAAAGTTTGTGTGTGTTTCAGTACCTCCTCAGTGGTTTACTCTGAATCAAAATGTGTATTTTTTGTTGTTGTTGTTTTTGCCGTGAATGGCACTCACTCATTGCAACCTCAATACTTTTAGGACTTTTCAAAAGTCTGTTTTGAAGACAAGAAATCATTGGATATATCAGCTTTTTGATGCCTGTTCAAATATATGCTGTACTTATGGATTTCACTCTATAAGTAAAATCCATAAGTATTTTTTCGTTTCTTACAGTGTTTGACAGGTCACAATTTATCACAGACAGAAAGGCACCCACGCATTCAACCTCAGGGACAATTTAAAGTGGACCAGTAACGTGACATGCATGTTGGAGGCCGCAGATAACCCAAGCATGCACAGTCCCATCCGCACACGAGGGTTCATAAACTTTACTGCATTTAATAAAACAGAACCTGATACCTTTGAGAAGATGTAAAAACCAAAAGGTTTAACTAAAATTGCCTTCTCTCACTTCACTGAGTTTAAGCTTTGCTTCTAAATCCCTCCCTTCAAACTATGCTATTTTTTATGTTTTTATAACAGCACTAATGTTGGACCTTGCAGTCTGAAAATAGTTTGAGACAGCTCCTGACTTTTACTGGTTCCATGGGGAGGCACTGTATATTTTGTTCTCTAAAATTACTTCAGAGGCACTTGGATGAGCCACAGAAATCTGTGCAACTGGATCATCTGTCTTCCTGCTGTCAGAGAACAATCACAGTTGTGGCAAATAAAAGAACATTTTTTTATCCAACTCAAACATGTTTAAACCATAAATTAGCGACAGTTTATATTTTTGTTTTCCAATTTTTTTTTCTTTTGTGAAACCAATATTGTTCCTGTTCAATGTTTTTCCTTTATGAAAGGAAAGGGGAGATTAGAGGTTAATCCTGATTACTGTGCAACTCAGAACCCTCATTTCATGCGTCTTAATGTTAAAAAGACCATAAAAATAAAGACTTTCAGGGTGGTTCATTATGAAAATTGCTTTTCTATTGCATTCTTTCGTCTCTTTGAGAAAGCAATATTAAATTTCATTTAAGTAAGAAAAGCAATCTTGGAAAAAAAGCCAAATGAATTGAAATATTTATTTTCAATTAACAAATTTTACCTTCTTTCCAAAATCTTAAACAGATATTGTCCATTTCTGTTTTGATATTACAACCGTATTCCATAAAGAATTTGTTAATCTACTTCTCATAGATTAAATCTATTCAAGTAATTTTAAGGAATACCCTTGATGCTTCCTGCTTTGCTAAAATGCATGTGATGGATGTTTCTAGATATTGTTTCATTTATGAGAACAGTATAAAAACTATAAAGTTTACCTGCAGGCATTTTAAAAGTTAAAAACATCAAAAATGTAAAATATTACACATCTAGTAGCAGTGTGCTGCTTTTTTGATGAAGGGAAAGTGCAGAAAGTACCGACTGGAGGGTTTGATATTACATGATTGATAACAATAGTTCTGAATCCAAAATACTTGGTTTCAGCTGAGAAATTAGAATTTCCAGATCAAGAATAGTCAGTGAGAGTACATCCAACTTGCCAAATAAATCATCCATATACAGAACATTAATGTGGGACCCAAGCAGTATTTTTGCTGGAATCAAATGAGCAAAATAAGTCAAAATGCAGTGCAACAGGACAAGAACAGTAGCATGAGGATTAAACGAGATGCAGAATAGCATGATGACAAATTTGTTTTGTAATTTGTTCAGGACTGTTACTGGATCAAAGCGCCACACAGGAACAGGAAATACATCTGGAGCAAGCCTGAAATGGCAGTAGTTTTACTTATTTAATTTTAAATTATGTGACAGAAAAGACAAGAAATCATTATAGACAGAAGACGCTGTGAACATCTGCACATCCTCAAACCCCAGTCCATTTATTATATGTTTTGAAAATTTGTTTGAATCATTAACTCTTTATACTTAAATCAAAGTTTTTATCAGACTGTTTTCCTTCTTCATTAAATTTCTGCCCCATTATTTTAGCTCCCTGCTGCCTTAACCCATCTGTCACTATTTGATTTTGTCTCCCTGCTCATAGTCTAAAGTAGTGACTGTATTCTCTTTGATTGTCTGTCTGCCTCCTGAAATGAATAAAAAAGCTACACTGAAAAAAATAAGTCATTGGATGAACATAAAAAAATTATGGAAAGGATTTCCACCTGATTACTTTGCTTTATTTCAGCACCATGTACTTGTGTTACTCCTATTTAAAGCAAATGTGTTAGGTCAACCTAATTTATTAAGATTATTCCAATGTAAAGCAAATGTGTTGGCTCAACTTGTTACAATGGTGATTCAATGGGTGATTCTAAATCAAACATGTTGGCTCAACGTAATATATTGTGGTTATTCTTATATAAATAAAATGAGTTGGCAAAACATAATTCATTAAGGTTGTTCTAATTTAAACCAAATATGTTGGCTTAACCAGAATTATGGTAATGCAATGGATGATTGTAAATCAAATGAGTTGGCTCAACTCCATTCATTAAGGTTATTCAAATTCAAATGAAATGTGTTGGCTCAACATATGTTTTAAAGGTTCCTTTAACTCAGTTACTATAGCGTGACCCAGTGTAATGCAATACAGCCCGCCCAACTAATCTGCAATGTTTAGGACCAAATCATTGATGTAACTTCATTAAGATGAATGTAAATATAGTTGAAACCACCTTATTTTACAGTGGTACCTTCACACTACCTGATTCAGTAGGTCCAACTCACTAAAAGCAAGTTAGCTCAACAAATATGCTTCATGCTAAAAGACAGCTAGTTAATCGTGTGGAAATCCTTTCCATTATTTCATGACGTTAATTCAAAGACATATTTTCAAGCGTTAATCAAGCATTTTAAGATAGCACTAGGTGAAAGTGTAGGAAGAACACTCAACAATTAGAAAAGGTACAACACAATTGTATTTTCAGAATTGTTATACATCGTTTTTTTACACAGCACAAAACACAGCTGAGTTGGACATTGAAATAAAAAAACAACTACAGTTTCATTTCCCAGCCAATTCTTTACAACATAAAACATGTCAGTATAGTTGCTCAACTTAAGAGAACTGTAACAATATAAATCTTTTCTACTGCAGACTTTAAACACTCATTTTCCATATGAAACTTTACTCAACTTAGCAGCGAGTTTCATATTGAGAACTTGTGCTTTCTTTGATAAGTTATTTCCATTCAATTTCATTATTATTTTCTGTATTACTTCAAAGGTATGCTTGAGTTACTGAGCAAGTTGAGTGCTGAACGCACTAAACTTGAGGGTAGCTCAAGTTTAGTGCGTAGATTAGTCCCAGCAGCATCACTATTGCAGAAGATACACTGCCCAAGCTGTTCATAACTTCCACCTCCTCCAGGACAATCCCAACATCCAGATGTGCATCGGCAGCCTCTGCACCCTCTGCTCAAATGACGATTCCGAGGACAGTCTCGGCTTTTGCCATTTCATTCATCAACGTCCTAAGGGAGTTAGGGAAGGGTATTGGGGGGGAGACAATTCACATGTAATTAAATAAATAAATTAGACTGACATTGATTGAGTCACTCATGGACCTTAGTTGGTGAAAGTATTTTAACAACTCAGGAGTTCTATTGTAAACACAAAGAGAATTTTACATACCATGTACTCCCTCACCAGCTTCTCTGGATCTTCATTTAGGTACACACAGACCTTTGAGGATGCACTCTCGTCTGACCTCAGCAGTGTCTTCCTAAATATGCAGATCAAAAAACAATGAGAACAATCTCAAAACTCCAGCAGTATAGGTTCACACACTTGAAAACATGGCTGCATTCAAAGGAAGTCACAACAAAAGTGATCAGTGGCTTGCAGTCTGTTTGAAATATATTTAAAATTGTTAGTATCCCTTCATTATGCCATGACTAAAATGGAGTTTAACATCTTATTTAAACATCTAACTGAAGCTGTTAGATGTTTAAATAAAGACATGAATATATCACCAAAGAAATATGTGAAAAGTACAGAATGGTCAACACAGTCTATATCCTTCTACTTAAATGAATATGCAAAGCATTCCATGTCTTACAAGTACATGGACAGTCTATGTGTGGGCATGGATAACGTCGCATATGCCGGTGTTTAAGTGTAAAATGTTTTAACAGGTCATATCTACGAGACAGAAAGAGACTACACTCCTTACATTTCCACATCCCCACGCAAATAAAGACAAATAAAACAGACTGGCCAAATAAATGTTTAGCTGAACCCTAGCTTTATAAGCTCTCTAACACTACATTCAGTCACTTTAGATCTGGCAAAACTTACTATTAGCCACTGAAATCTATAACTTGATAGCCGATGAGCCCCTTGACCAGTACTTACGCAGGTGGATTACAGACAGGTGATGTTCTGAAAGAGATCAGATATATTTTCAGCCATTAAAATATGCAATTCATACTGAACTGAGTTGTATCTTTTAGTACAAGTCCCTTGAATGCCTCATGAATATAACCACTGGACACATGCAAGCACATATGTGCAGAACAATGGTGAATTGAACATGGTAGAAAGCAATAGTAACATAGGTCAAAATGAGCACAAACAATCAACACAAAAAACATCAACATTTCAAAATTAAACCAATGAACTTCAATATTGTTTCTGAGCTACAATTATTTGGGGACAACAAAGAAGAGTCCAAAAAACCCCAACATCTTTACAGCAGAGGAATATGTATTTTAAAGAAAAAAAATAGAAAGCTCAAGTCTGTAATAATGGATAATCCATTGAGAGTTTTAGCCTGACAAAATATACTAGAAATCCATAACTGACAGGTATTTAAGGAACATTTAACAAAGCTCAGAAAGCAATGCTTTCTGCAGGTTTCACCGACTGAAATGTAGGACTTTTATTACCATAATTAATTAAGAATCTCGATGATGATAGAAAGGTACCAAAGTGTGTGTGTGTATCTACATTTACCTCCATAGTAACATTACTGAAATAGAATTAAAATAGTTAGAAATAGACTGATGTTAGATCCGTGTGTTAAAAATCCTCTAAACCTCCAGGGAGCTCAGGAGGAGCAAAACTGTGACATTTCTGGGGTCCATTTGTGTCTCTGGCAGCAGCTTTGTACACCACATATGGCTCTGCAGACTTTTTTCGCACAGAATGTACCTAACATGGTGCGGCGATAAATGTAAACAAAAAGCTATCTGCCTTAACCTAACCGACTTAATCTACAGAACATGAAATAATGTGACACAAGTATGGAACAAGTAGAAAATGGTGCAAATGGTAGAGAAATTTTAAGTTACATATTTTTAGATGGATTTAGATGAAAATAGTTTGACTCTTACCTTCTTCAAATTAAGTAGATGCACGCCAGGAATCTCCCCTCTGCCCTTGAAAAAACCCAACAAGGTGCAAGCCAGTTATCTCGCGTGATTTTCCGTAATCTCTTGATGTCTCTGGATCCTCTTCAGCGGGAGATGAGTCTGACACAATAGCGCTTTGGAACTGACGTCACTGTATTTTTTTTTTATTAGATTAACTTTGACAAATATTGATATTGAATAAAATAAAAAAAACACACACACACACACACACACACACACACACACACACACACACACACACACACACACACACACACATATATATATATATATATATATATATATATATATATATATATATATATATATATATATATATATATATATATATATATATATATATATATATATATATATATATATATATATATATATATATATATATATATATATATATATATATATATAAGATACTGCGCAGGACCCTCAAGCCTGGGAGCTTGAGGAATTAGATGTATTCAAGTTGAGATAACGTCATTCAATCACGTTAGTCCAGTTGAGAGAAAAAACCGATTGTCTCGCGTGTTCTCGCGTGATATCCCGTGATCTCACTCGTTGTCGTCAGCACAATATCAGTCTAAATATAATGAATCATGTTAGCTCAACATGATTCAATTTTATAAATGTGAAGTCGTGGAATATCTTGTTTATCCAACATGATTTTATCACGTTTTCGTTTCAAACCCAACATTATTGTGTGAAAGGTACATGATTTTTTTGTTAATGTAATACGCCCCGACGTTCTTTTTTTTTGGCGGAAGATCTAGCTGACGTAATTGAATCACGTTATCTCACCTTGAATACATTTTATTCCATTTGCGAGAAAAAACCGATTGTCTCGCGTATTCTCGCGTGATATCCCGTGATTTCCCGTAATCTTGCGTGAACTTGCGTGATATCGCGTGATCTCACTCATGGTCTTCAGCATAGGATCGGTCTGACTATAATGAATCATGTTCGCTCAACATGATTCAATTTTATAAACGTTGAAGTTGTGGAATATCTTATTTATGCAACATGATTGTATCATGTTTTTGGCTCAAACATGCAATTATTTAGTTAACAGTACATGATATTCTTTTGTTAATGTGATAACCCCTGAGGTTCCTTTTTTACAGTGTAGCTAAGAAACTAAAATGACCGTTATATATAGTTTTTACCCCAGTGGCCTGAATAAGTCCACCGACTAATTTCTACATTCAACATGAAATGTAATGATTTGTAACCAACTACCTTAATATGTAACTTAGCACTGAGCAATCAGCTAAAACAATGCTTTTGATCCTTGTAAAAAAAAAAAGCATAATGAAAACATAGACATTTAATTCATTGTTGCTGTGAAAACAATAACATTCAGTCCTTCAGTTTATCCCAGTCTTTGCTAGTGCACTGTCAAAGTAATACTTTATTTTTTCTTTTCAACTTTCCCATTGACATGCATGCAGTAAAATCGGTTTTTTCTAATTTTAGAAATGCCCTAGTACAATTAGACATAATTACATCTGTCCAGAGGACACTAATATCAGCTACATTTGCTTGTCACTGGTGGGTGATGCATATGCTACATTAAGCTTGTAGATGGACTAAGCCATGGAGGTAGTATGAATAAGGGGGAGAGTGTACCATGATGCCATTTTCAAAAGTTAAAGGTTCAGTATTACATAAAACATGACAAAATTTTGTCATAACCTTTGAAAAATTTAAGGTATTTTAAGAGATAGTGTCTGTTTTTGACAGTTTTGTGCAAAAAAAAAAAAAGTTTTCCAGAGGCATTGCCTTTTAAATGTGCAATGAGCAAAAATAAATTTAATGAACTATTATGTTAATATCAACATCTTTTAAATCAGGAATGATCTACTGTTACATTTTAAATACGCTCTTACTTTTTGATTTTTAACAATGAAACATTAGGTAATAGATATGGATACATCTTGCTGAAAAACATAAGGGCATAAAATATCTAGAGTATGTGTCCTTGAAGAAAGTTTTGACTTGCGTCAGCAGTGGTATTAAAAGATAACAAGCATGCTGGATATTCTCCAGAGAGAGCTGAGAGAGAAGCATATCAAGCTTGTCACATTGAGAAAAAAATATTAAGACATTTCAGGGTATTTGAATCATACCTTTTCTCAGACACATAGAGAAGGAGTGCATATGGTATAAATTATATTTTATGCATGTATATTTTAGATCAGCATCCCACTAGGTAGTTTGCAGAAACCCATGTTTTCATTGAACTAAATCCCATAAGGAACAGAAATGCTTTTTCATAATGATCGACTTTTATTTAATTTTAAATATACATTGTTTTTGTCATAATTTACATGGGCATGACCTAGACTTGCCTGAGAATTTAATAAAACATAAATCAGATCAAACAGTTGGTGTGAAAAAACATCCACCAACAAATGTAAAGTTTGCACGAACTGACATACCCGCAAGGCATTAGCATTTAATTACACAGGCATGGTATTTAAAGCATAAACAAAGAATAACAATTAATATGGCACTTCCACTGAATAGACATATTATTTTCCCATCTGGATAGGTATTCTGTTTCACCGCAGCTCTCTGAAACAGTAACAGAAATTGCTAAACAGCTGGGAGTAACTTACCCTGAAAAAAAGTGCCTCTATTTTATTAATACATTCACAAAGAGATGGAATTACTTCTGGGCATAAAGAGAATATGGTCCCATTTTAAAGTGATATGTAATGAGACTGACAAAGACATCTGCAGACAAATGAATGAACAGCTTAATAATATAATTATACATTAACATCAGTTGTAACAGTTCTAATTAAAATCAAATGGAAATAAAAAACAAACAAAAAACTGAAGAAATTGTAAGAAATATTAGAGGACACACCTACAGTAAGTCCCATTTAAAATGATTAAAATCCCACATGTGCACATCCTGTTGACATGATGACGTTTAAAACGGCCCCGTTTTTTAAATGTTATTCTGACATTTATTTTTGGGGTTCTCCTAACTGAGAGTGAACAACATGATATAAAATAAAACTGTTTTGAATAGAGAAGTGACAGACGCAAAGTCCCACACACACACATCACACAATGTATAGGGAACCAATAGCCCAGAGGGTTGGGAGGAGAGACACCAAAAAAAAAAAACAGGCACAATAACAATAAATTTAAATAAAAATGTGTGAAGCAATTTAGATGTAACAAATTTGCTCCATGAAAAGATGAATTTCCTCCAGTCTCCCCCAGAGTGGTTCATTGTATTTTTGATATTTGAGTCCTTGTTTTAATCCCACTTGAAATCTGTTGTCGTCATTAACCTTAATATAAAAAAATGCATTTAAAAATATTGTTTTTTAATTAGTTTTATTTGTTTTTTTGTATAGCATTATTAGGGTTTTTTTCATGAAAAGTATTTGAAGGTCAGAGTGAATAAAAAATTAATCTAAGTTAAACATTTACTTACATATTTATTTGTATAGGCCAACCACACTGATCTTATGAAGCAGTTTCCAGATGACTTCTTCAATGTGATTGTCTCATGATTAAAGAATGGGAGAAAGTTTTTTTTTTTCCTGCAAGATATCAAACCCAGTGAAGTATGATGTTTGTGTTGTGCTAGATTAAAAAGAAAGTGTGATTTAAAATTTAATCACAAAATAAAAGAGAAATACTCTGCTCCTTTTGTTCACTTGACTGATATATTTTTAGCTTAATTGTAAAAATACCCCTTGTTTGGTCAACGCAACAGCTCAAAAGATTTGACACCTTTACTTAAGGAAAGTTCTGATTTGAATGTTGCATGGAAAATATCAGGGAGAAACAAAATGTGGAACTCCAGAGACACAAAGATGAAAAAAATCGGGACATTTCAACCTAACAACAGCTGTGTAGGTCATGTTAATTTTTCATAGCTTGAATATGTAAGAAAACAAAGAGTCAGCATAAACAATATAAAAATGCTGTACATGCATACTCCTGGCACCATTTATAGTGAATCATTTGATCCAGGATTTTGAATCCTTCAATATTGCCTTTGACTCCTCTTAGGCAGTTCTGAAGAATGTTACTGAAAGAAATAAAAGCAACCTTTCTTCACCGATATCACCTGTTATTGGAGTGGAAGTTTCATCGGATGTCTGTAACCCTTTACATGGGCAGGAAAGATTCAGTAACTGAGACTGCTTTATGTACACAGTTTCCATTCAAAACAAGATTCTAACAACAACTGAGGTTGGAAAATAACAGAGAATGTATGCCGAGGTCAGAAAAAAAAAAAAAAAAATCTTTGTTAGGAGAACATTTTCAATAATGCAACACACTCACAACAGGATTGTTGTGAGGATGTACTAATGAGGCAGAGGTTATATTTCAGGTGTCAAATTACAAACAAATTTTTTTTTAAAGTCATGTTAAGACATGATAAAGCATTTTTACAACGTAAAGGTTCTTACGATAAAGGTAATTTTATTCATGTAGCACATTTTCAGCAACAAGGCAATACAAAGTACTGAAGGCAACATCATTATTTCATTGTGCAATAAAATGGCACTATGCGCCTTGAAAATATACAAAATTGCCCCTTGACGATTATTGCATACATTTAACCAGATACAAAAAAGTTCTGTTTAAAAATGTGATTCACAATTGTTATATTTAGGACAAACCTCCTTTTTTAACAATATGTTTGATGTTGCCTCACATGCTATTTTTTTGGAATGACTATCACTTTGAAAATTACTTTTTCAAAGTGACTGAAATGTTCAAAAGTTTCAACTTTTGAACATAATTCTTTAAATCCTATTTTTTTTAAAACTAACAATTTATAAGAATTTATCAAAGAAAATATCCATACTTTTCAATAATAATTTTCATAAACTATAAACTGTGAAATTAAATCAAATCAGTAAGCCAGAGCCATAATTTGCTCATATTTAACAAATTATAAAAATCTTAAACAAATTAGAGTTGTTGTCGTCATTTTTAAAACAAATATAAATAAAGGTATATTTTCATTGCTGTGGTTAAACCCAAAAAGAATGCAATTTTGATTCCTTGGACTATATTTCTTATCTTGCGCTCTCCTCAAGTAAATG